AAAAAGAAAAAAAAAAGAAAAAAGCTCTTCGATTTGCGTTAAACGGAATTTTCGTGTTTTCGAGAACAGTGGTGGGCACTGGGCCAACTGATCACCGATAATTTCTCTACTTTCCTCGCCTTGCCTCGCGCACTCGCTCTCTCTTGCTCACTTTGATCTTCCGTTGCTTTTCTGTGTGTAATTCATTCATCTTTCTTACCTTTGTAACAAGAGTCTTGTCTCCCGGGCTCCCCCCGCCTCTTACTGCGAGCGCTTTCTGCTGATGTGGTAGGCTAATCTGCCCTCAACCGAGGAATGCAAGTATACACTTTGCGAATGCGGTGTAGGCGCAGCAGTGATCCTGATCACTTGAGTTTGGTGAGCGGCCATTGTTGCTGAAGCTGCTGACACTCACTTGTCTGTCTGAGCGACACTGCAGCGGTTATGTGCAGGAGATTCAGCCCCCTTTACTGATTCATCTAAATTCTACGGATGACGCTCTTGTACTTGACCTCTATGCAAAGCGGACCCGCCCCATCTCGACCCAGGTGACCCTCATGAGCTGCAAGTTGTGTGGGCAGCAATGGTGACGGCCTATAAATTAGGAATTCACGACGCCTTTATAGAGCGGGCAGCAAGCCCCAAATAGCGAGGTCTTAGAAGACCATTCTATGTACGTGCTGCTGCACTGAATGTGGATCGTGACTGCGCTGAGAGAGACCACATGCACCGGACACATTTGAAAGTCCCTCTATTCAATCATCATTACTGTCTTGTTGAGGTACTACTGGATTAAGGCGGGAGTCTGGGCCATCTCGTTGTAGAGTAGACTGCTTGTAGTAATTTTTATATGGTCCGAGGTATGTACTTAGATGGCATGATCTATTTGGCGTGCTATAAGAATTCGATGTAGCCTTTGCCACTCGACGAGCTAGACACAAGTTCGTTAACAACCTATATTTGCCGATAGGAGCCCTCCTACTCATTTGACTACGGAGGTGGATGAACCTGTTTTCAGGGCCAATTGAGGCGCAACTAGCTTTCGATGCTCACTCAGTACGTCAACAGATGCGAATCAATCATGAGTAGCACTCGAAAATTAGGTTAAGTTATGAGGACACTACTCAGTACAGTGTACAGTATAAAGAGGCTTGCCAATCTGATCATGAAAATGAGAATCCTATTTGACACACCGCCTTCCTGGCCGCCACTCTACCTTTTTCTGCCACATGACGTCATACAGTATCAACACTGCGAGAATCTGCGAGAATTAACAAGAAAGAAAATGTCTCTGTCTTGCTTGCTTCACACTGGCCCCTTGCGGCCCCTTGCGGTCCGTATCGCACAGAGAAGACATTGTGGAAGGTACTATGTGATATGAACTAACCCGAATTATAGCTCCCTACATGGGGCTTGCATCTGTCGAGGTTGCCAGCTCCACGACCGACCTTTACAAGGCGATACGCGAATACTACAAATTTGTAGTGATCCACTCAGTTCGATTTTGTTCAAGGCTGGCCAGCCAACACAGTGGCACCATACCCCAAGAACAGATATGCGCGTTCTAATCGGCCATTCGAGTGAGGAACCGTGGCCTGACCAGTGTGGCGCCCTCGACATGCTCATGTGCCGCTTACTTCACCCTCCTTTGGCCATGAGAGTACCACTACAACACCACCACCGTCATTAAATGGTTCCCTGGGCTCTCTGATAGGTGTCTACCTCCCCTACTGGCTTTCCTGTTTCAGCCATCTAAGTCCGTCGTATTGCCAGGTAGGCCCCACTTCATCCACACCTTGAGGCTAGCATGTAGGGCGATGCTATTGTGGCTCATATAGAGTCGTTCGATGCATCCAATGATATTGTTTCGTATGCACGCATCGAGAATCCTGCAGTCAACAGCGGGGAGAGACAAGAGACGGCGCTGGGTTTCGCCCCTTGGCCTACATGGTTGATAAGGAGGACTAACCTATAAATATAATACACTATTTTGTGGCGAAGGCTGATGCGCAGATCATCATCTCCAGCACACCGTATCCATGCTCATTTTGATGACGGTCTCTGGCGAACCTGCACCACAATCTCAGAACGCAGCTTTTGGTAGGGCCATGTGTCTTGCAAGGGCTACTTACTGTCCGTGATCAAAGTCTTTCGTGTACTGCTGGTCTCTTTTGGACGAGAATGAATTCATGTTCTCTTGCCACATCATAGGTATCTTGGACTATTGCTAACCGCCGTCGAACAGAAGAAACTGAGTTTTTTTGATCCATTTGGACAGTATTGGCAAAAACAAGGTGTAGAAGAATCAGGTCTACGAGGGACCGATCTGCTACAGCTCTGATGCGACCCACCGTGATTCAGCAAGAACACTTGGTAGCACGCATCCAAACCTCAACAGTATGAGCATCGGCCAAGACTGGAACACTGGGAATTACGATTGTCCCAGGAATTGGGATCGCAGTGCGAAGGCGGAAGAAGACAAAGTATGGAAACGAGTAGCAGCGGGCGAGTAATCAAGAAAGCAAAAAGAGCTGGACTGAGTTTGTATGAAGGTGATATCAACAAGAGTTTGTGACAAGGGCATTAGTAGTCTCGGCAGTAACATAACAGTCATCCTCTCAGTTAGACATCGAGACTGGAGACATTTGACCCTAGGTCTCGACATGACATCATGTCTACTGGAGCTTCGTTATAATTAGGATTAAGAAAAGGATATAGAACATAGACACAGAGACGGAAGGTAGGAGGAGGAGAAGAAGGAGGAGGAGGAGGAGAGGAAGAAGGAGGAGGAGGAGGAGAGGAAGGAGGAGGAGGAAGAAGAAGAAGAAGAGGCAGAGGAGAAGTCATTATCGGTCTATACCAAGTGAGGCAACCTTTCCAGCAAATCTAGCACCAGCACTACCTCTTTTGTGCAACTTCTCACGCTCCTTACTGTCGAGTGAGCTCGGAGCCTGTGTGGGCGATACGACGCTGTTATCAGTGCCCGGGCCTCGAATCGTTGGTGGTGAACCTGAGATTTCAGCTGTACTCTTCCCAGTGGGAGGAGCGGAAGGAGTACTGATATAATTGGGCACTCTTGCGGTCCTCTGACTCAAATATAGTTGGGCAGCTGGCGAAAGGGGAATAGGCGGAGGCTGCAGAGGAATCTCGGCGCCGTTCTGGACGAGGATCTCTGCAATCGGGAAAGGAATCGCTTTTACAGGAGGACCTGCGGGTGACCTGGTTGACAGACTAGAGGCCGACCCCGGTGATGCAGGATCAGCTGCGGCTAGGGCCAGAAACACGGCATGAGTATTGCGAGAACGGTCGGTGATATTCACATTGGCGCGAAGCGCGATGCCATAAAGTACGCCTTGGATGTCGTTTCTTTTGATTGCAGCAAGAAGAGTCTCGTCCGCCGTAGCAAAGCGGGATAAGGGGGAGGGTAGCGCTTGGACAAATACTCGTTCACTATACTTGGCCGTAATGAACTTCAACCTTTGCTCCCTAGTAGAGGTGGCGATTGGCTTGTGCAGCTGATCAAGTGTTGCCTCCCAGATCATGTTACTGACACGGTTGCCGATCTGCAGGAGGATTTCAACGATGTCGTTTGAGAAAGAGTGCACATCCAGCGTCAAAGATCGTATCTTGGAGATATGTGTCCCAAGTGATCGATGAATGCCACTGCATTCGATGCACAAGACAATTCCCAGATTAATAGACACCCATTCGACCTTAGATGTGGAGCCGCAATCAGCACACCAATTGTTGCCTTGATCCGCATCGCGGACTGTCTGGAGTAACTTGGAAGGATTCTCCTCAAAGCCATGGTTATCACGAACGTAACTTGGTCTTGCGCCTACAGTGGTGCGACGAGTGACGTTGTTATTAGAGCCAGTTGATTGGGAGTGTTGAACAGAATATGAGGTGGTCTTTCCGGTCAGCACCGATCCGATATCACGACTGAAAGAGGCACTATCGTTGTCCGTGGCGATTGGTGGTGGTGACATGCCGCGACCCTCTACTGCACTCTGCAGAGCGTTGTTGATTGCTCTTATCCAATTGGACATATCCTCCTCGGAGGTGGCCTGGTAAATGCGTTTGTACTGTGGAGTTATGACTTCGAAGCAAAATCGCCGCTCGGCGTTTCGGGCTTCTCGGACGGATGCCATTCTCAGATCAATGGGATCCATGTGGAGGTCAAGCTTCTGTTTCCAGTTGCTGTATTCCGAAAGTTTTCCCTGATCTAAGACAATCCAGAATCTGTATGTGGTTAGTTTTAAGGCAAACTGAAAAGGTGGGTGAACTCACTTGTGCCAGGCTTGTTTGTTGATGCCTTTGGGATCAATATGAGAGCCTGGGCGAGACAGCGCCCACAGAAGACCTTCCTTCCTTTGTTGGCCTGCGTTATCATCAGTGGGGTTGAGAATGGAACGCGAGTCAATCTCAAAGAGCGCCATCATGATGACTGTAATCGAAAACTGGGCGTGAACATACCGTTTGAGCCCGCCGTCGACGCGAGGATGGACAACCCGGCCACCGGTGTAGTGGACGAGTTTGCTTGTGGTAGAATTGATGAGTTGTTGCTAGCCACACTTCGCAACTGGGAGCCGGTGCTATCTGCGCGGCCTAGATCACTTTCTAGTTTCTGAGTTCCATTGGTACTCCCTGAGAATGTAGACGGGGCGCCTGCCGAGATTAGGGTGTCGGGTTCGAGAAAGGTGTTGCTGCTCTTTTCCAGTGCTCTCCGCTTTTCTTCCCTCTCCGTTCGTTGAAACTGGAATTCCTTGTCCGCCTGCCCGACCTCATGTATCAAAGCATCCAATTGGGGAATCATATTGTCAACCTTTTTGGCGGCCGCAAGGAAACTCTTCGCCTGGGTATCAGCATACTTAGTAAGGTGAGAGAGAACCTCTTGCTCTTTGCGACCCCCGTGCAGGTCCTGCATGAACGAGGAGTAATCAAAACGCTTTAATTCGAAATTGCGCCGCTTAGCCTGATACTTCGAGTCACTCTCCGCTCGTTTTTTTTCCTTCAAAGAATCCTGTCGCTGGCCAAGATAGCGACTGACATAGGCATAATAATCCCTACTCTCCTCTTCAAACTCTTTTTTCTTGGCCTCGGCCTGTTTGATATCGTTATTGTAGAGTTTGACCAATGGCTCAATAACGAGTTTTTGAAGTTGTGTCGTATTTAGTCGCTCATAATTCAGAATCTGGCGTGCCGTCTTTTCAAAATAATGGTCAAGTGCAGGCTGGATCGCGTTGGCATTCGAAGTAGAAGCTTCGTTCAGTGCGGAAAGAAATGCTTCTACAGCATCGTTACAGGCCACTTGTGCTTGCTGGGCGGCCTCGGCCTTTTTGAGGACTTTCTTTATCTTCGCTCGCATATTCCCTGTCTTTTGCTCCAATGCTTTCATCGTCGCACGGAACAACGGGCCATCCTCAACCACGCTCATGTCCTCTCCGGGGCGCGAATGGGGAAGATCGACCTTGACAGGAAGGGGGGGTGCATACCCAGGTGGGGGCACAAAAGCCGTGTCGCCGACTTCTGGGGGTGTGACGGGCACAGCATGAGGGTTAGATGCTGTATCTGCATCACTGGAGTGCGAGACGATGGACTGTGAGGAAGGAATACGATTCCGAAAAGGGACAGGGATTTCTAGGTTTGGTGAAAAGACCTTAGGACTGGGGAGAGCACGCTGAGTGCTGTGCACCCAAAACGAGAAATGAGCGAGGGTATTCAACCGATTGGCTCTCTGGTCATAATCAAGGAAACTGCAACTGTTTCTCCAACCGCCCCCTTTATCCTCTATGACCTTGGGCGGTTTCCATTTCCACGACCATTCAAATTGCACCGAAGGATTACCCGAAGTCGAATAATCTCCCACCAGCTGCACATTAGAATTGTTCTGGAGGTTCGGATTGGCGTGAAACTCGCGAGTGATAAGATTGTCCAGATCTCTAGTGTTTGGCGCATGTGCGAAAGTGAGGCCTGTTAGAACGGTGTCGGCTACTTCGGGCAGAGAGGTAGAGACCCCATTGACAGTGGCATTGGCCGCGTTTCCCGTCTGTGTTTGTCTAAGGATAAAGGTAAAATTGAAATTCAGCTCGTCTTCGTTGGTCAAGCGCAGGAGGAATGTTGGCACCGGTGCAGATGGCGAAAGATCAGGGTCCTGTCCACAATGAAGCGGTTAGCTACTGGTGTTTATGCCCCCCCGAAAAATCCAAGCGATTACCGCCACGGTATAGCCAGCGTTCTCGATTTACCTGTATGTATTCGATCGGGCTCTCATCGCCAGCCTCGCGCCTAGCGGTGTATCTGGTAGCAGGAAAGGAATTGGGAACGAGATGTAGGAGCACTCGGCGCCTAGAATTGGTTATCGTTACAGCAGCGATCGTGACTAGACGGGTCCAAATGAGCCACAACATCCGTTGCATCTTTAATTAAAGAGGGGCGTACATTTTGCCTGATCTTTGAAATACAGGTTCCCGGAGTCATCCAGGCGGCTTCCGACATTGCCCATAGTGAAGTGGCTGGAGGTATCGAATCACCGCTCGAAACAGGAGAGACCGGAGAAGTGACCGGTGGGACTAGGAGGGGGCATCGACAGTCTGCGCTCCCGTAGCCGGATGTGGCGCCAGACTAAGGCTAAGGCGAAAAAGAATGAGATTCTCGAGAGGATGGGTCGTCATTCAGACAATTGATGGATCACTTGATTATTTGCGACCAAAGTTGTTCGCTGCGAGACGATCGTGTACCATGTGCTGGAAGTCACGAAAATGGCGTGCGCGCGGAGGAAGGGTCGCAGAGGCAATGATCACTAGGAGGAAGGAGCAGAGTTTGCTGTTCTGAGTTCAGGTATGATAAGCCAGGAGGAGGTGTTGTCCGAAATTCGCGGGGAGGAGGAGGTAGGGAGGAAGGGGTGCTGTGTGGTAATTGAAGGGAGGGAGGAGGGGAAGAGGGGTGAGGGCAAAGGGTAAGAGAGGTGGAAATAGAGCACGCCCAGAATGGCAGACAGATCCTAGCAAGATAATAGCCCTTTAAAAACTGCAGAAGACACGGCAAACGAGAACCCCCGAGGAACAGATGTGGAATCTGGCCTTTGAAGTTGTTTGCGATCTGAGAGAGGGTGAGAAAGAAAGAGAGACGGAGGGCATGTAAGTAGGCCAGGGCGAAGCAGTCGGGGGCTAAGGCAGAATCGGGTAAGATGCTCATTTCTCAGCCGGCTGACCTGCGACAACTAGGCTTGTGTTTGTGCCTTCAATTTTGCCAGTTGTTTCCTCTTCTGTCACTTCGTACGTATCGTCATTTCTCTGAGGAGGCTTGATCAAGCTATTCATGGTCTACCTTCTTCATGATGCCTGTCAACAGCTCCCCAGTTTTGTTATCAGAGTCCAGTCATATGACAGCCCGCACCAGGGAATTCTCCTATCCCTCGTGTAAGCATAGGTTTCAGTTCGCCCCCATTTCCTTTTAATCCGAAGCCTGTCGTCCTAAATGGGTTGCATCAATCCTATCAAAACAAGAGCTCCCTTCCGTGCTCGCAAAGCAGATAGAACGGTGGGTGCTTCACAAAGCGGCTGTCATGTAGGATCGGATGTCTAGGCATAGTGATAGTGACCTGCGAGAGCCATTTGAGGGACAGTGTAATCCATTTGTCTCCTTCCGGCTTTCCTATTCTTTTCTTTTGGTGCTCCAGGAACGCCATCAGAACCCAAACAGCTATTCTGCATGCTACCATCCAGTGGCGTTTGAATCAGTCGCATTCTTAGCTTATTGCATTGAGTCCACAGCATACAACCTCTTAGCAACATACTGGCTGCATTCTACTCGTCGAGCGCAAGCTCTATAACCACCAGACAATTAGCTAATGTAGAGACGACACCCGGAGATCCCCACAGGCGGGCTGGAAGCTTAAATGAGAACAGATTCATACAATGGCGCAATTAGTTGCATTTTGACCTGTTCTGGGCTTAGGACGAAACAATAAGGTCATGGACATCAAGAATAAACCAGGGAGGGGTCTGATAACAAAGGTATAATATATAAACATAGTCGCTGAGGAGACACGCAACAGAGCAGAGCGAAGAGCCTATTGAAAGGCATAATAAAGATATGAGGGGCAAGGGGAACGAAGGATGGAAGAAAGCTTCGACGATGTTCAGCAAGTGATCATTGCGAAAGCCCTGTACGAATTAGGTCGACGCAGGCAGGATTCCGGTGTGCCTGAACATGAAGGAGTCAGGCATCTATAAATTAACAGTACCTCCTTCAACACCCCTATGATCTTGTGCGGAATTGCCCGCCTTGAACCTGGAGCCGGCATTGTCATCTCCTTGTGCCCAGTTCATCAAGTGGCCTTTGACATCGCGCATCTCGTGGACCTTTTGTGCCAGGTCCCCCCTTGCTCTGCGTGGCACGTGCGCGTCGCTGCGTTCATTCAGGTCCTCTTCGTCTGAGCTGGAAAGAGAGAGTGATGAGCTGTTACTTCGCTGAAGGAAAATCATTTGATTTCCCTCATGGTTCTTGAAATCTCGCTGCTCATTCTTCAATGCCTCCATTTGCGCAGCATCCTTTTTGCAATCAAGTGTGGTTATATGAAGGCCTACCAGGTTGGATGAAATGAACTGCTTGAGAAGAGGAAGATACTCTGCATTGGGACGATAGGTGCCGCTATCGTTATCGATGAAAAGCTCGTAGTCAGCTGGATCGACCGATATTTCCAATTGATTTTGCGACTCATCCGCGGAATAGTTGCAGGTCTCTGATGGATGCGGGGTGTCAGGTTGTCGGTGATGGCGATGCTTTCGTCGTCGAAGAAAGAATTCCCCAGAGTACGCGATATAGATTGATACATTACTGTGCATGGTGTGCTTGCTTAAGAGATCGATGCCGAATTCCTTTCCAGTCTCCGTGAAGCGAAATTGTCCGTCAAGTGTAATAACATAGGTGAAAATTCTCCCACCCTGTGCATAGTGAACAAACTCCAAAAACTTCTGAGTAAGTTCAAGACATGGCGATGCGAATTGACCGGTAAGAGTTGTTTTGTCGAAGTTGTAGATGCGCTCATGTTGATGATGGAGCGCTCGGTTGAGAATCCTGCCACGAAGACTGTGGGACGTGAACATTCCGGCCACAAATGGTTTGAATTCGACATAGCGATGATAAAGCTCGGCGGGCACAGGGCCTTTGAGTTGTATTTGAATTGCTTGAAAGCTAGAATGTGGGCAGTGAGCTTGTTGTACTTGTTGTACCTATATGCTTGGATTGGAACAGGTAGACGTACTTGTATCGACTGATTGTCTTTTGACCATTCTGGCTCTGAACCTCGTCCTTGGTGCCTGCTAACCTGCCAATAAGGGGAGAGAAATGCTTGAACCAGTAATTTGGTCCAACGGTGTACATATGCGCTCCTTCATCACCGGGCGTCTTGCCTAGGCAATCGATGCTGATCACCAAGTGTGAAGCCACGTCGAGGCGTCGTGAAGCCAAGGCAGCAATGTTGCCGAACAAGTATACTCGTTTGCTTCCCAGTCGCTTCTTGACACGATAAGATTGTTCCTTAATCGAAGGCCAATTATCATCGATTGAGTCTACTTCAACGTAGGCGTTTCCCAATTTATCATCATGGTCAGTCGCATCCTCATCGTAAACATTACATTTTAACTGGAAGCCAGATGCCGGAACATTGGCCACAATCCAACTCTTCTCCCAGACTGGATCTCGGTTCTTTCGCACTGTAGGTGTGCGGAACGAGATAAAGGGATCCTGCTTGTGACGCTGCGGAAGGTCGACGATTAATTGAGCATGAACATAAGGATCCGAAGAGAAGGTACCAAAATCCGCGCAAGGAAGGTTGACGCCACGATGAAAAGTGAATTTAACGGTATACCCTGGCGGAGCATAAGGATACGGGGTACTATCAAAGCCCCCAGCAGGTTGCGATTGCGAGCGTTCGTCCCCGTGCAAAGTGGCCTTCATGGCAGCCGCTCTGTCTTGCACGTGCTCTGTCTTGTCGAAGAATCTGGGACCATACTTATCTACCGGACGCCGTCGACGTGTCCGCGGTTGCGCTTGTTCCATGGGAGGCGGAGGGAAGGAGTGGAAGCTGGATAAAATTAAGTACGATAGCAAGTAATGGGGTAAGGGCCCGCGGGTCCGCCAGTTACCTGCAAGAGTGTGCGGGGATCAGCAAGCAGGCGCAGGATGATGCAGGAGACGTCTGAGGTTCCGTGCTGTTTTTTAATTGTTCTTGCTCTTCCTTTTTTGGGGTTCTTTGCTTTTCTCTTTTTCTTTCTTTTTGATCCCTTGTTTTGTGTTTCGATTCCTCTTTTTCAAAAAGCAGGTGCGGGCATTTAGGAAAGAGATCCGAACCAGAAATAAGAAAGATACGTGGTTGGGAATCCACTCAACCACACCTCGGAGTTAGGGGAACTGACATCATGCGGCCCCTCCACGGGGAGAGGGAAAATGAGGGAGAGGGAGAGGGTGTGGGGGAGAAGAGAGAGTGTGTGCGTGTGAGAGTGAATGTTGTTGGTCTCGGCAAGGCTTCTTTCCCGTCGATCGTGCCCCCCGAGTGAACGATGACGGAAGGACGGGACCGAGTCTCCCTGTAGGGCGTAGCGGAGACCACGTTCCACCTAATCAGTTACAGATTCCACAGTACGTAATAGGTAATCAACAGTGTACATCGTCGCTTGACAATGAGTAAAGTCCACGATACCTGATGAGCCTGCCCCATACAGTGTCCATCGTACACAGTCGCTGATCGATGTAGACTTCAATGATCCAAAGTACCATGCGCCAACGCAACTTGGAATGATATTAAAAAAAGATTGGGTTTGCACAAGAAGAGAACGAGCGGCGGAGCGATTCTCCATAGGAAGGTATTCCATGTACTCATTTATGTACAGAATGCAAACTAGATACTCGTATTTGCATTGGGTTATCGCAATCAGGTGACGTCATTCTAGGCTACCGCGTTGAATTTATTTTTGGTGTACAGTACGACCAACCATTCCAACGAATAATGATCCAGGCACTTTAGGATGCCTGATTGTATTCATATGTCTCATTGGAACAAGTGGATCCCCATTTACTGGTAGTAGCACGGGATACCTGGCAGATTTCCTGGCATCAACAATAACCATAAAATAACGGATAACAGGTCAGGCCCGGACCACCCACATGTCTTATGCATTTCAGGATCCTCGGAATAAAAATTGCATATCTTCCGGAGTGAGTTTCTCCAAAGCCTCCCCCTGATCCTTGTTAAGGGTGCCATTGATGAGATTGGCCTTCTTCTCCTGTAGTAGAACAATGCGAGATTCTACTGAATCCTCTATGCAGAGTCGAGTGATGACGCAAGGTCGGCGCTGCCCGATGCGGTGGCAGCGATCCGCACTCTGCCATTCAGCGGCGGGATTCCACCATCTGAGACCATAAAACATCAGTGGACAAGAAGTAAGATAAAATCCACCGCCTTTGGAAGACTTACGGGTCAATAATAAAAACTCTCGACGCCTCGGTCAAATTCAGTGCCACACCGCCTGCTTTGAGTGAGACGAGAAACACCTCAACATCCACGTTGTTCATGAAGTATTCAATCGACTTTTGCCGTTGTGCGGGTGTCATTGTACCGTCGAGCATAACTGTATTGAAACCGGCTCGGCGTAAACGCCACTCGACAAGCTGTAGCATGGAGGTGAACTGAGAAAAAACGATTGATTTATGTGTCTGTTTCTTGCTTCGAAGCTTATACAACTCATAAACCAGCATTTCGATCTTAGTCGACGACGTCCAGTCCTCCATTCGGATGCGATTGATGATAGAGTTCTTCTTGACGTGCTCCTCTTCCTGTTCGATATCGGGCTGCTCAAAGTCGATCGATAAAGGAATGTGACAACGGGGGCAGTCGACCACAGACTGGATTCCATAGGACTGAACATAGTCTTTGACACATCTGCGGCAGAATTCATGATGACAGCGAGATCTGATAGCTTCCTCTGCAGGTTCATCACATATACTACAGACAAGAACATTCTGTCCGCTCTGAGCATGCTTTTTCAGAATTAGATCAGGATGGTTCGCCACTTGTCGCATCTGCATGATAAGTCCGAAAATATTAGCGTAGTTGTTCAGCATGACACCGCGGCTCACGTAGGTATCAAATTGGCGAGTAGAATTTGTCATGATACTCCTAGAGAAATCACGTTCGATCTCTCCGAAGAATTCATTGCGAATGACAACACTGGAGACGAGTCAGCGCAGCTCAATCAACTTGTAGTATGCAACAAACCGTTTAGGTGGAAGCTCCATGGAAGCTGTATGATCTCGCTTGATTCGTCGCAACATGATCCTGTCCGTCAAGAGACGCAATTTTGCCAAAGCTTCCTTCCTAGCATGA